ACATACATTTTACTACAATTGATAACTTTTTTAAAATTATTTGAATAACTGGAGGTTGATTTGTAATTTGAATTTCAAATTCATTCGAACATTTAAAGGAAATATCATAAGCAGATTTTTTTGAAACATTTCATTTTATCTCAACTTACATATAATCACATTCCTACCAAACATTAAATTTGCTTATATCTTTTTAAATTAATTACATCACTAAATAATATTAATATACATTACATATTTATCATTATATATCAAATATATTACTTCTACAAGTGTTATAAATAATAATGACATTATATGATAATAAATTTTTTGATAGATTAATAATTGAGTATTATGATGAACTAAAATATGTAAAATTATTATTATTTTGTATTAAAAAATAAATATATATGTTAAAATATTATTTATAATAATATAAACGGGTCAGCATGCTATTACAATAAATTTTATAATAAAATAATATGAGTATTATACGAGGAACAATATTACGTAAAATTGTTATTTTTCTTATATCAAGAAATAAATATATATAATAAAATCAAATTTATATTATTATAAACATGTGAGCGAGATAATATATTAATTAATTTATGGTCTAGCGCTACCACTACCAGGCTCAGGTTTAATGCCTCAATAAAAAAGATGACGTTGATGAAAGAGGTAAGAAAATAGATGATCAAACTCTATTATTTTCTTAGGCCTTAACTGACAAGCTCTATTGTCCACTCATTTAATATCTCCCGTGAATCACACGAGCTACTTAACTGACAAGCTCTGTGGAAATAACTCATTTAATATTTATATCTCATGCATCGCACAGGCTACGTACTAGTGACTTTTATCATGGCTGAGGAGGCATTGGAACATAATTTTTATTTTACTTCCAATCCATAGTTAAAAGATAAAAGTAAGACAACACTAAGATTAAACTATAAAATAATTTGAAATCAATCGTTAGTTCAGACCACACAATAATTAGCACTAAAATTGCATGGTAACAAACATTAGTTAAATGCCAAATGTAATTAGGTCATTGGGTATTAGTCAGAACGTGCAATAGATTCTTTATAATGGCATGTTTTCTAAAATTACGCCCAACAAGCGGCTCGCGGCGGTCGTTCGTGGACTGCGAAGGGCTTTAGTCGGGTTTTGAAGAGATAAAATTTTAGAACCAAGAATATTATTGCTGGAAAATTATTCCCTTCTCAAAGTAAAAGAGAAGTTGGATTTAGAGGGAGGGTTGATTTCTTGATGTGCTCCGGTTTTGCCTTAACGATAGTGGTCAAAATATTGAGGAGGTTGGCAGGATACAAGAGGGTTACAATTAAGGCCATAATCCTCACCACAAGGACCACCAAGCAATAAATTTGAACTTGATATGCAATAGACCCATATTTAGCATAAAAATATGGCAGAATTACAAGCACAAAAGGGTAGATGATAAGTTCATATGGGCAGGATTTTAAAACGTTGGACCGAAACTAATGAGCACCATGGGCCGAAAAATAAGTAGAAATGGGCTGAGACAAAGGTTTGAGAAAAATAACGAAAACGACTCAAACTTACGCGATTGAAGGACGAATACACATGCGAACAAAACGAAAGTCGACGAACGAACTTAAATCGGACAACGACGGGTGAACAATTTACCTAATAGATAAATCAACTTATTAAATTAATTAGACGGAGCCATCCAATTAATCGAAATAACTTAAACGAAGGCTCAAGATTCGGAAATAATACAAGTAGATGATAATGCCTATAAAAAGATACAAGAGATCATCAAGACGAGGATATCTAAAAATAATACGCCTAAGCTAAAACGAGGACTTTCACCGAGCAAAAATATTTAAAAATATAAACGAACCGAAAACCTAAATTTACGCAAACTCGCCTAAAACGAATGGGGTGCTACAAATCGTGTTTGGGCTCGTTCGTTTAATTGTTCATCAAAGTTCGAGTTTGTTCGTGTTCGAATAATTTAAGACATACACTTTAAACATGTTTGATTAACTCGAAATTTATTTGTTTGAACTCGTTCAAACTCGAAAAAAAAATATTCATATATTTTAATTTTTTTATTAAAAATATTATGTAAATATATAAAAATAAAATAAAATTATATTAAATTAATGCTCGCGAACGAGAACGTGTTCGTTCGATTATCAAATGAGCCTGATTTTCTATTCGGACTCAGTTCGATTAACAAACAAATGAGCTTTTGTCGAACACGAATAAGCTTTTGTACGCAATTCGTTAATAGCCTAGGCATCGCCCATAATGTCTACACACCCTCCTGGTTGCCCGATCGTCTTGAAGGTTAGAATGCATAGGCAAATATTGGTTAGCCTAAAGAGATGTCCGCTGCTCGGTATGACGGCTTCGTTATGCTTTATTTGTTTACTTGTCGATAAAAAAAATGAGCCTATATTTAAACTTTATCAAAAGTAGTTATTAAAAATTGTCTGAAAACTTTTAAATGGAATTTTTAAATAGTGAACATGAATGGATAATTACATAGTTATAATTACATAATTATAAAATAAAAATTGTCTGAAAACTTTTAAATAAAGTAGGTAGGTTTGAAATTCAAACCTATATGTTGGTCACATAGTTATAACAACGTTTGAAAGTTTCAGAATAATTACCTTAATCACAATAATTTGCATAGACTTCATGGAAAGACATTCATAGTAACCTTGGAGTATCATTCAGAAAAAAATGTAGTTTAATGATCTTATATCCATTCATTTTTATGGTCAAGTAGATACGTATCGAATGATTATTGTACGTAATAGAATGTTCAACACACATGATTTGTGTTGATCCTTAGAATAGTGGAATTGATGGAATGACACAAGTGTAGCATCCTTTACATAACAAAAGCAGTCATTAAAATCTTGAAACATGAAATAATCTCACGGAGAGAGGAAGAAAATTTTAGATGTAAAATTTGGACAGTAGTGACCCATGAATATAAACAGAGGAAAAGAAATGAATAATATCCACGCTTGAGCTGAAGTCCCACCACACGGCTACAAAATTCTATTTCCAAACATGAACACGAAATCCACAGCCTGCATACAACAAAACAGAGATAGAATAATATTAGCCTTTTGAGTTCGGTTTTTCTAGATTAACTATAACCATATGAACAAAACACACATTCTGTATATTTTTTTTTTCTCATGGATAAAATATTTGGCCATAAAAAAGATTAAACCAAATGAAACTTTGCCCAAGGATAAAAGTATCTGAATTAGAAACTTTGGCTAAGGATTAAACAAAACAAACATTTTTTTGTGTTTCTTTTTTTTTTTTTCGGGCAATGCTAAAGAACATATGACAAAGGATCACGGTNGACACAGGATCACGGTCTTCGTTCAATTATAATCGCCCAATTATTATTTTATATCTTCATCTCGTCAGTGTGCGTTATAGATCACGCCTAGGCTTACCTCACCCAGAATCTCTTACTGGAAATTAGTCGTACATTCTATGACTAGGGAAATGAACCAAATGCAGTCTATAACTAAAGGCATTTTTGTTGGTGGTTATATTGCTGGAATTACTTCAGCAATAGTGTAGATACTTCAGCTTGAGTTTCTTATTACTTTGCGGTAATTACTTTAGCAACAGTGTACATAGTTCAGCTTAAGTTCTAATGACGACTTTTCTAACAGGTATCCTAAACCTAAAAATACTAAGAACTTAAAGGCATGCTAAGAATTGAAGAATAGAAACTTAATTTAAACATTTTAAAAGTTACAGAAGTATGCATTCACTCTCCGACTCCAGATCCCTTATTTATTTTCGGATAAGTACAAAAACAGCCCATGAAGTTTAGCCCCATTGCAAACCTCCCAAATATCTTTCAATACCCCTTTCCTACAGGCATTAGTCTTATCACCTACACAAAAGCATCCTTAATATTGGTCGTTTTCCTGACTGGACAAGTTTTTGCTCCTCCATTGGAGGTTTACAAAAAGTAGATTTCTAGTGGAAACTAAAAAATAAAATAAAATTGTCAGCACATTAATAACCTATGAGACCTAAACAAGAAAAGGCACCAGAGATGGAGCAAGAAATGCCACCTAATTGAGAGCAATCAATAATATGAAGAGGTAAATTTTAAAATAGAGGTCCAAAAAAAAGAAAAGAAAGAATAAAATTCCAATCACCATCTCAATTACAAAACATATACCCATAAGCACGTTATTCAAAATGTAAAACTACTTTTTCAATTGATCATATAAGCATATACTAAGAAAAAGTTAGAGCATGAATCTTTATACGTTTACTAGGAAGAAGAATGATAAACATTTCTGGAACTGAAGCATGTTTCTCATTGGTGAGAACAACATAAATTCCACATATTTTGGATTAGAAATACATCAGGATTACATAGAAGAAAAACTAGAAAACTCAAATAGGAGCCAAGGATTTGAAATCGTAAGACTACTCAAATAAGCTAAATGAACTTGTGGATTTGAAGTTCTCAGCTTCAAATCCTTCCATCCGAAAATAGCTGAACCCATCATATTTGGTTCTATAGAGTGATGTTGATGTCAAATTACATATCTGCTACTTTCGAACTACAACTTGTCAAATATAACTTGCTGAAAAAGCTACAACTTGTCAAATATAACTTGAAAAAGCTAAACACATACATACATCTTTTTTAAAAACATAACAAGTTCCAACATGGATTAAGTCGAGTAGACTAAAAAAGACACCGAGTAAACAACATATTGAAGTTTGATAGAGTGAAGGGCCAATAGGAGAAGAAATACAAAACTGAAATCGATAATTAATTGAAAATGATAGAAACTGGAATAAAGCAATTGCACGCAAGCCTACCGTTAGCGTGAATGCCTACAAAAACAAAATTATCACTGAATTCCTCGAACACTAGTAAGCTACATTCTAGTCCCTAAAATAATACGAAAAAATGATAAAGAGAGCAATACAGAATAGGAGAACTGTAGAGACATTACCTATGCTTGAAGTTCATATGGGCGGGGATCATAAAATTCTCCTTGTTTTAGAGAATCTCCACAATCCGAATATTCTTCCTCGTCCTTATTGGGATGCCAGACTTGCTTACAACAAACAACGTTCCCCTCAGAGTTACTCGTCCACGAATATTTCCATTTCTCACACGATAGAGACGTATTTTCTCAATAGCAGTTCGACGTGCATACTAATCAACCATGGGAGTGACTGAGGGTCTAGATATAGGAAAACTGGACGATTCAACCCTGCAAATAAAACCAAAAGAAAAGTTAGCCAATAATCAATCTCATCCAATTACGGTAAACAAAAAGAACACTTACGGTTTATGTTCTCCATAGCGGTGCATACCACATCCAAATATGCGTTGAACATATATCGCCCATGTTTGTAGTACGTGGTCGCCAAGAACTTAACGTGTTGCAGTTTCTTCATCCCATTGTTTATGTCAGCCCGATATTTGTAATTGAGATCAGGAAAGAACATTTCTAGCCTCGCGTGCATATCATCGCTGATCGAATCGGAAATTCCTTGCAGGTCAGCACTAGAGAGCTTTGGAACCTTTTCGTGCGAACCACTAGCCCGACAGATATTGTGGGGAGTGAATATGTCGGATCGTATGGGTTTGTTCGCAATGATTGTGATCCGACATATTCATTCCCCACAATCTGTGTCGGATTAGTGGTCCGCATGGAAAGGTTTCAAAGCTCTCTAGTGCTAACATGCAATGAATTTTCGATTCGGTGATATGCACGCGAGGCTAGAAGTGTTCTTTCCAAATCTCAATTCCAAATATCGGGCTGACATAAACAATGAGATGAAGAAACTGCAACACGTTAAGTTCTTGGCGACCACGTACTACAAACATGGGCATGCACTAGGATATATGTTCCACGCCTATTTGGATGTGGTATGCACCGCTATGGAGAACATAAACCGTAAGTGTTCTTTTTGTTTACTGTAATTGGATGAGAGCGATTATTGGCTAACTTTTCTTTTGGTTTTATTTGCAGGGTTGAATCGTCCAGTTTTCCTATATCCCTGGTTGATCAGTATGCACGTCGAACTGCTATTGAGAAGATACGTCTTTATCGTGTGAGAAAGGAAAATCTTCGTGGACGAGTAACTCTGAGGGAGGGAAACTTTGTTTGTGGTAAGCAAGTCTGGCATCCCAATAACAACGAGGAAAAATATTCGGATTGTGGAGACTCCAAAACAAAGAGAATTTTATGTTCCCGACCATATGAACTTCAAGCATAGGAAATGTCTCTACAGTTCTCCTATTTCTGTATTGCTCCCTTTTATCATTTTTTCGTATTATTCTAGGGACTAGAATGTAGCTTACTAGTGACCTTTCGAGGCATTCAGTGATAATTTCCATTTGTTTTTGTAGACATTCACGCTAACGATAGGCTTGCGTGCAATTGCTTTATTCTAGTTTCTATCATTTTCAATTAATTATCGATTTCAGTTTTGAATTTCTTCTCTCAATTGGCCCTTCACTCCTATCAAACTTCAATATGTTGTTTACTCGGTGTCTTTTTTAGTCTACTCGACTTAATCCATGTTGGAACTCGTTATGTTTTTAAAAAAGATGTATATGTTTAACTTTTTCAGCAAGTTATATTTGACAAGTTGTAGTTCGAAAGTAAACATTTATATGTAATTGACATCAGCATCACACTATAGAACCAAATATATGATGGTTTCAGCTATTTTCGGATGGAAGGATTTGAAGCTGAGAACTTCAAATCCACAAGTCCATTTAGATTATTTGAGTAGTCTTATATAATTCAGACGATTTCCAATTCTTGGCTCCTATTTTTGAGTTTTTCTTCTACGTAATCTTGGTGTATTTCTAATCCATATTATGTGGAAAGTATGTTGTTCTCACCAATGAGAAACATGCTTCAGTTCCAGAAATGTTTATCATTCTTCTTCCTAGTAAACGTATAAAGATTCGTGCTCTAATTTTTTCTTAGTATATGCTTATATGATCAATTGAAAAAGTAGCCTGACATTTTGCATAATGTTTGCCAATGGAGGAGCAAAAACTTGTCTGGTCAGGAAAAAGACCAATATTAAGGATGTTTTTTTGTAGGTGATAAGACTAATGCCTGTAGGAAAGGAGTATTTGTAGTATTGAAAGATATTTGGGAGGTTTGCAATGGGGCAAAACTTCATGGGTTGTTTTTGTACTTATCCGAAAATAAATAAGAAATCGGGAGTCGGAGAGTGAATGCATACTTCTGAAACTTTTAAAATGTTTAAATTAAGTTTCTATTCTTCAATTCTTAGCATGCCTTTAAGTTCTTAGTATTTTTAGGTTTAGGATACATGTTAGAAAAGTCATCATTAGAACTTAAGCTGAACTATGTACACTGTTGTTAAAGTAATTACCGCAAAGTAATAAGAAACTCGAGCTTAAGTATGTACACTATTGCTAAAGTAATTCCAGCAATATAACCACCAACAAAAATTACCGCGAATGCCCCTCGGGCTTATATCGGTGCCCAAGCCAGTAAGAGTAAAATCCTCAAAGGAGATTACCAACGGGTATGTTCTATAACTACGGGGATAACCGTTCAACGGCCGGTACAGCTCACATCGAAGGCTACATGGTTCACATGCATACATTGATCATACCACAAATAAAACATGAACATAATTTACAGCATAGCATTTTAATTAAACCCACCTGGATACCGAATTAGCAAATTCACACAAGGCATGAACTTAGGTCGGGGCTTCAGCTCGTCGAACCTACATTTTTATTATTAAGTCTTATTATTATGGTTTGATTGAAAATGCAAAACAACACATTAAAACACGTAAGACACATTTCAGATAAGAGCACATAATTCAGACAAGATAGGTAGATAAAATATCGCATAAGGTTGACAATTCTCCTTTAATGGACTAGATCAAAATGGCTCAATTAAATCTAGTGCTTCTTCTATTAGTTAAGTTTTTAGAAAAAAAATATATCAAACGGCGCAATGCACCTTGGGTCGCTACAGAAACAGCCTCCTTGTATAATTACAAGGGTAAGGTCTGCGTACAACTGACCCCCAGACCTCAACCTGTTGGAAATATACTGGGTATGTTGTTGTTGTTTGTTGTACATTTTCTCCAATAGGACCAAACTTAGATCATAAGTAAACACACAGAATACATAAAGTTGTAGATATTAGATCATAAGTGAACACACAGAATACACAGCAGATATTAAATCTCATAAAATCACATCATATAGGAAATAAATAAATAAATAAACACACAGAATACATAAAGTTTAGCCTTCTTGTCTTTTCTACTTTTTCTCGATATTTAAACAACACATATAAAGCTTTAACACTGATAGCAAGGCCTCGAAAATGCACAATTCAACATGCTTCTCAATTCACTAAGCAAATAACCAAGCAGCACTTTAATATTTAAACATGTAGCACTTGAACAAGACTTCTTTTCTCCTTCTTATTCTTTACTTAAAACCAACATTTCTTAACTCTCTATACTAATTAAGGCCATATTAACTAACACTTATCCTCTAACAATCTAAGCATGTAACAGCTCATAGAAAGGCAATTTAAAGCTCAACAAGAACATTGCAACTCACGGTCAGGCTACACAACATGCACCTTATACACAGCCTCAATTCCTCTCCCTTCTTACTAACAGCCCATAAACCCCATATAAAAGCACAATAACAACAAATGCAAAGCAGGGCAAAACAACAAGGTTCAAAATATATCAACCTAACTTTTAACTTCTTCATTTTCTCAAACATTAAACCACTCATGCCAGGCTTTAAAAATTGATACGAAATGTATATAATACTTCACTGTAAGCATGGTAAACTTACATATAACAGAGATTCAGTAATATAACAAACTGAGGCCATATAACACACCAAAAATCCTTCACAACTTTCTCATTTCTAGCACTAGANGGCAACCACACGGCCAACCGAGCACAACCATAGCATATCATATCAAGCACATAATCAAATATTCTCAGCCAAACAGAGGTATGAAGGTTCAGCCGTTGTACCTTCTTCTAGGAATTTACTATTCGGGCTCGAAAGAGGGAAAGAACAACCTCGAACGGTTCTTGACTCTCGGTTAGGGATCATCCTGCTTCACTTCTCGCATGTACGACTGCTCAAAAGCATTTCGAAAGGGAACCGGCCACTGTTCATTGAATGGGAAATGGGACTACTACTGCTTGATGCTAATGATCGAGGACCCTGACTGCTCGACAAAAGCCTCAAACGGCTGCCGCTACTCTCGCACGGGCCCGAAATGGCTGCTGCTACTGTTCGGGCCGCTGAACGAAGGCCGACGGGGTGCCGCTGCTGTTCGGGTCGTTTGCTGCAACTCGCGATGGAGGTTCGCTGGAATCTGAAATTCAAACAAAGGCCGTTTGCAAGGATTTCTCGACGTGTGCGGGCAAAAAGAGGGTCGATGCTGTTACTCAGAGTTCATCGGCGATGGTGAGAAAGGATGTTCGCCGCTGCTGCTTGATGAAGGTCGCCGTCGAGGAGTCATCTCGTCTTGTTCGTCGGCACTCTGCTCGCGAGTGATCGAGGAACCTGTTGCTCGGTTTCTCCTCCCGCGTAGATACACGGACGGCGATGGTGGAGAAGACGATTGAAGGGCTGGACGGTAGGGGTGAGCATCGGTCGGTTCGGCCCAAAAACCGAACCGAACCGAAAAAACCGAAAACCGAAATTGTATTAGCCAAGCAAACCGAACCGAACCAAATAAGCACTAAAAACCGAACTACAACCAAACCGAAATTATCGGTTCGGTTTTGCAAATCGGTTTGGCCACTGCAGTAAGCTATTATTAATAACAATCTCATTTTGCAAAACAACCACCATCAAGCATAAATAGTCCCCAGTAGCAAAAGAATCCTTTCAAAATTCATATTTTGCTGGAAATTAAATGAAAATATCATTCAATTGGCCAAACTTTACAAGGACAGTGAGATGTTTTCCTAATCATAAGCCATAACTTGAGTCTCGAACATATTCAACAAAAAAAAAGATCAATTGATTTAGGATTAAATCTCAGAAAGACTTCGAGTCGAGATGCGGAGAAACGGAAATAAAAATCCCAAAATTAGGGGGCGGGATGCGGCTGAGATCTGAGACCAAGAGTGAATTGAATTTTTTTTTTTGAGATTGACAGAGGTTGGAGAGAAGATTGATCGAGAGCCGAGGCCCGAGAGAGAAAGGCATGGACTTTACCTGAACGGCTGAACCCGATGAGCGATGGCGGCTGATGTCGAGAAAGTGAGAATGAGAGATATTGTGAGTCTGTGATTAGGTATTTTATGTCTTAGTTTTGTTAAGATCCCCTCTTAATATAACTAGTCATGGCCCGTGCGATGCACGGAAAAATTATTATCTTTATGTTTTTTAGAAGGCACTTTTATATATAAATTGTGTAATAATGCAAAGTTCATGATCATAAAAATAAACATATAAACATATAATTAAACTGAAAAGATCATATATTACTGAACATTTCCTATATACAACATTATTGGTTTGATTATTTGGCATGTCATCTTCGCCACAAATTAAGATTTTCAAACATTTTCGGTTAGTGACATGTGAGACAGCAACATATATCTGGCCATGAATGAACACTGGTTTCTTAAGAAATAAGCAAACATGAGATAAGGATTGTCCCTGACTCTTATTTATAGTTATGGCGCAAGAAACCATAATGATAAACTGCCGCTGCTGGAACTTGAAAGGAATTCTAACATCAGAAGGAGTTATGACCATTCTTGGAATCAACACCGTATCACCAGCATGATCTCCTGTGAGTATCTTACACTCAAGAATATGAGTGGATAACTTTGTCACAACCAATCGTGTCCCATTACACAAACTCATAGAATGATACATGTTCCGCAACGACATGACTGGAGTTTCAATTTTCAAATTCAACTCATGGTTCGGTATTCTAAAACACTTGATACTATTTAAAAACTCAGGCGTATGGAGATCGGACAAAAAATCATTATTAGAATTAGATTTGCATGTACTGTCAGAGCTCAAGTACATACGACCATCCAACAAATTCAATGATGTCATGTACTCATTGATAGACTCGGCCACATCCAACGTCGGTGCTAAAATTCAAATTACAAATCAACTCCCAATTTTTCAAAGAATTTAAAAAAAGTTATCAATTGTAGTAAAATCTAAAATTTTAGGCGAGAACTTTTTTTCAACTTAAAGTAAATCTCTATTGTTGTTTTATAGTAGTAGATTGAATTTTCAAAAGAAGTAAGTCAAAGGTTTTGACTCCAAGTTTTTATCAAGTTTATATAAATGATTTTTTAATCAACCTCTTTCAATATATATATAGATATAGATATAGATATAAATATAGATATATAAGTACATATATAGTACTCCCTCCTTTTTTTAGTAAGTGTCGTTTTGAAAAGTTGCACAGTAATTAAGAATTTTTTTTGTCAATAATAACCCTCATTAATGAGGATAGAGATGGATGTTTTGAGAAAAGATGGAGAATGAATATGAAAGAATGTAGTGTATTTATTAGCTAGATGAGGGTTAATAATGAAAAAATATGTACAAAGCGTCATTTATTTGGTTATTGTTAATAAAGTCAAAATGACATTTTTTTTAAAAAAAAGGAGGTAGTATCTATTAATATATTAAAAAAACAAAGGATTTATTATATATAATAATTTAAAACTTACCAAGAATGTTTAAATTACTTATAAAGAAACTTGTTTTATATGGCTTGATATTACATTTACATTGATATAATTTGATCTCCTACAATCATGCTCCCTAAGTAACTAATAAATTAGATATCCTTGATATATATATTTCACATGTGACCTTACAATTCGGAAAGAATCAATTGACATTATCCTCATCCACAATTCAACATCATCCTACCGGTTTTTTTGTTAAGAAATTGGTTCGAATATTGCTTTTAAAATCTCATTTTTGTACTCAAATTGCACGTGCTTTTTAACAATTTTTCCTAAATTATTAAGTCAAACAAATTAATTAAAAAGTCCAACATTCTATTTAAGTATTTTTCCAATAACCTTTTTATATATATTAAAAAGAATCAGTATTTACTCCTGAAAATGAAGCGGATTTTCCTACCAATAAACCGATTTTTTATCAAACAAATTGATCTGAATATTTTTTTAAACCAAATAAATAATCGTCAATTTTTTCCTAAAAATCCAACTGAATTTTCCTAACACTACACCGAGTTTTTTACCAAACAAATTGAATTGAAAATAATTTTAATAAAAATGGAAACAATTTGTTAATGTTTATGCAACTGTCTCTTTCCTAAAAAAAATGATATGAACTTAACCAAAAAAAATAAATGATATGAACTTACCAAAATCTCAGTAAAACACATAAGAATCCAAGAAAATCGAAGCTATTAAAATTTGAAAAGTTGCGCATAATTTTTCCTAAATAATTGGATAAGGTTACTTTAAATATCAAAGATGAACCGCTTTTGTTACCAAAAATGTGGACACAATTTTGAATGTACATCCCGTCCAAATATCAGTTTTATTCTAAAATAAAAATTGCACAGGTTTTATCCAATTTACACACTTTTTTTTAAAGAAAAAATTATTCAATAAGATTGAAAGAATTGGTTTAGAATTATACGACTATTTGTTTCCTAAATTCGTATCCAATTTTTACAGTTTTTAAGTTAATTTGTATTTAGAATTGTTTTCATAAATAATTAACATATTTTTTGCATAAAAATCTCCAAATTTTTTACCAAAATATATGATTTAAATTTTGGTAAAAAAATAAAATATGATGCAAAAAAATGGGATTCAAATTCTGCCATAAGAATCTCCAAATTAGTTACCAAAAAAATAGGTTTCAGATTTTGTTACTAAAGATTCAAATGTATTTTTTTTTAACATTCCATTTATAGTAAGTCAATTGTTTTATTTATTAGGTCAAACTTTCTATTAATGTATTTTTCCAACAACCTCTTTATATATACTAGTAGTCACCCGTGCGATGCACGGGGATATTATTACCTATAATGTTTTTAAAAAACAATTTTATATATAAATTGTGTTATGCAGGCAATGATCATGATCATAATAATAGACATATAAACATATCATTAAATTGAAAAAGTCATATATTATTGAACACTTCCCTATATACAACATTATTGGTTTGATTCTTTGGCACGTCATCTTCGCCACAAATTAAGATTTTCAAACCTTTTTGGTTAGTGACACGGGAAACAACAACATATAACTGATCATGACTGAACACTGATTTCTTAAGAAATAAGCCAATATGAGATAAGGATTGTCCCTAGCTCTTGTTTATAGTCATGGCGTAAGAAACCATAACGGGAAACTGTCGCCGCTAGAACTTGAAAGGAATTCGAACATTAGAAAGAGTTATTGTCATTCTTGGAATCAACACCTTATCACCAGCATGATCTCCTGTGAGTATCTTATACTCAAGAACGTGAGTCGATAGCTTTGTCACTACCAATCGTGTCCCATTACACAAACCCATAGAATGATCCATATTCCGCAACAACATGACTGAAGTTCCAATCTTCAAATACAACTCATGGTTCGGTATTCCGGAACACTTGATACTATTAAAAAACTCAGGCTTATACAAAAAATTAAATAAGTGAAAATGCAGTTACCAAATAGCATTGATTCGTCGATTTTCTCGATATCAATCAATGTGTTGAACCTTCGAAAGTCAAAACGAAAAATTAGAAAGTCACCCTTATAGCTTATGTGTTTGGTTCTACCATGTAGTATAAGCTTGTATTGTGCAATGGTGGATCTATAAATTCTGATATTACTCTCGACTTGATAGTTTCGAAATGCATAGACAACACCTTCTTCGAATTTATTGATGAAAGTTGGGATGTTGATTGCTCTTACTATTCCAGTAATTCGACCTCCCTGAAAAAAAAAAAATAATATTAGATATTAGATATTATAATTAACATGATGAGAAAAATGGATAATCATTATTTTTATTATGAATTAAACCACAATGTCATGAAAGACAATTTCAAGGATGTTCTTGTAGGATGATTATTGATTAGTCCTTTGGAAAACTCGAACCACCCTCAACTTGAGCATTGGCCTGTTGGTCCTTGTTACTTGCTTGATGTTTCCCCATGCTCTCGCCATTTTTCTGTTTGTATGTGAAATTGTAGTGTGAGATTTTTTTGATACGTGATATATGCTCCGATGTTTATTTTATAGCCATGAGATGAAAGTAGATAACTATTAGATGATAAGATTAGTTGGACTCACGTTAATCTCTCTTGATAAGATTCTTTGCACGTGATTTTAATTTCAGAGTTTCAATAAATTCAAACTCTAATATCATGATAAGATTAGTAAAACGTGATTTAGCAGATTGTTAACTCTCGTGATTTATCCACCGTAGGACTTGCTATTTGTTATGTTTTCTAAATGAATGACAGTAAATTCAAATGGAATATATTTCGGTCAATCCAAACACAAATGATTATCACGTTGGTATGGATCGAAATTTTTATGATGATAAGATAAGTGGAAAGTAGTTAATAAGTGGAGATTGTTGTGTGATAGCATCATTACATAATTACCATCACCATAAATCTTTCCATTAAAATTCGGTCCATACCAACGTGATACAAAAAAAATTTTTGAATTTTTTTTTGCGTCAAACAAATAATATAATCTTTTACATCAAAAATTTTGTACGTCAAAATTTTAATTCAAACAAATGTTTCCATCTTTTTACGTCAAGATTTTAATAATAATATATATATATATATATATATATAACACAAATTAAAATAAATGTTATAATGAACATCAATATTTATGAATATAATCCATTATGATAAATTATTAAAAAAATCACGCAATATAATCCATTAAATGTACTTGATTTAGTTATTGTTAATTTCATAAATTTTTTTGTTTAAATAAAAAATACAGTAATTTTGAATTCAAATGAAATTCAAAGAGTGATACTCGGTCAATAAAAACCTAAACCAATTTTAAATACTGTATATTAATTTTCAACCTTATCATGTATGATGATAAGATAGGTGCAAAGTAGTTAAAATGTGGAGATTTTTGTGTGATAGCATCGTTACATAATTACCATCTTTCATTTAAATTTCGGTCAATACCAATGTGATACCAACGTGATACAAAAAAAAATTGTTGAAAAAT